AATAGAGTTTGTAAAGACACCAAACATCAGTCCCAAAGGGCGGTAAAACGTTTTGAATGGCAATGATTGAGCTAGAAAGATAAAAAAGGGAGACTTAGTGATCCAGCTATCAACATTCGACACGTTGCTAGTATGAATAATGGCGTTGCCGATGCTTCCTCACGCATAGCGGTAGTTAACGATAACGTTATAGATTTGACACGTATGGAACAACTACAGATTCCAACCCGGACTTACAAAACGCACTGAAGTCTTCTCTCAATCTTCAGCGTTTGCCACTGACCGCTTCCGAGGGCAAAATGGGGTGTAAAGATTCGTGCACCTCACCTCGTCCTTGGGTACACGTGAAGACGCGTAGAGTGGTTTTCACCACCCCACATAACCTCTCTCATCCAGGTATTCGAAATAGTTCGGCATTAGTCAGCCAATGTTTCCTTTGGCAATCCATGCAAAAAGATGTGCGTAGTTGGGCACATTACTGTTTGGCCTGCCTAAAATCTAAACTAACTAGACACACCACTAGCCCTTCTGATACTTTTGGCATTCCGGGTGTCAGGATCGGTCACATACACCTAGATATATTAGTCTAACGATTCCTGTCTTGTTCTATTTCCATTGACATGCTCTGATAGAGCACTTCGTCATCCCCCCGTTTTGCTCGCCGACCTTGTCTCCTTTGTGTTCCATTTGTGTTGCAGCGTTCAACCCCGTTCAGCTCTCTCGATAACTCTCTTCCCTCCATCTACCAGTGCACTGTGACTTTCAAATATTTTTGTGCTTTTCTTGTGCACATGACTGTGTTGTACATATGATCATGCTTCTGCATGCTTCACGGGGCTTCGTGAAATATACCCTTAATATTATTTTATTTTTTTATTATTACTCAATTTCTTTTTGGTTTGCTTACAATGTAGAGCTGAGGAACGTTTTGTTAGTCACATCATGAACAGCACAAGGATTGTAAGACAATTTTTGTATTTATTGATTGGAAATCTTTTATTGCTTTGTACTTCCTGCACCTTGCAATCTGCAGGGCTTATTGTTTTGTACCCTACAGTCTAGATAGCCTAGGGCGGGTTTGACGTTGCTCCTTATCTCACTGTTGGCGTCCACCCGTTTATGTGACCATGCTCCTTAAGACTAGTATCAGTTCGGTAATAGATGAAACAGAGATAGAGAGCCAGTTCCTTTATCCCCTGTTCATGGCCCGTTTAGTGGAATGTTTGGAATTTAACAATAAACATTTTGCAGGAAGTTTGTGGATGGTGACGGAGAATCAGCCTCGCTGCAGAGAAAACATGATGATGCACTTGCATTGGGTGAGACCGGGGCACATACTCGATCTTTTTAGATCAGGCCCATATAATTGTTGGTCCAAAATGATAATTATGGCATCAAAATGGGGACAATATTATTTTGGGAGCTCTCACTGATCCGGTGTGATGCATGCACGTTAATCCGTTGGTTCATGCCCCCTAGCTGAAAGGCGACCACCTGCACTGAGATGCCTCAAACGAAAAGGACCAGGTGTCGTATCACCCTATTGTGATGAGTGAAATAAAGGCACGCCGAAAAATGTCATCCTTGGATGCACCCAACATTTAAAGAGATTTGGTTTATTCGACAGCAATCATCGAACTCATGAAGTAATCAAATTTCTCTTTGGCTGTTAGAACGGGGTTTCATGGGCCTGACGGGAAAGGAAGCATCTGGTAGATGAAAGTATGTACAACGAGGAAGCGCTGGTCAGGTGCGAATTATGATTCCACACGAGTCGACTCTTATCAAGTATATTCCTTTCAGGTAATGGTTTGCCGTGTGTACATGTTTTAGATGTGCATTTAAATTGTTTGCAAACAATAACAGTTGTGTTACGGATGTTTATTGTATTAAAGCCAACTGGTTTTCCGGAGGGGAGTATAACGGTGACTTAAGCACCGTAGATGATGATGACAACAATATTTTGATGACTCAAGTTTTTCTGAGTGGCATTCTCTCTTGTCTCTTTGAATATTGTCTTTGTTTATCTGTGCCATTTATTATTATTCCTGTAAAACATCACGGTTTGGTTGTCGTTTGCTTTCGCTCGGTTGAGCAATAACACTCACTTGTTCGTTTACCATTGTGCGGTCCGCTTACTGAGGATCACGGTGAAGTAAGTATACGAAATTTATTGTATGATTTTCCACTTTCAGATACCGTACTATACGTGATTTCACTGTTGTTCAGTGTTCGTTGTGTTCAATGTTTCTTGAACGTTTCGGTTATTGGTTCGGTTTGCGATAGAAAAACTTACAAATTTGGGATCACGAAGTGATTAGTCCCATTATTATGATATCGTGGTATCTTCCAACCTTGAGAAAGTTACTTCTGCTCGTTCGCGCAACATTTACAGCTACATACATTCATACGCTTACTACATTTCATCAAAACTTGCTCTCTTTCAGTATCTACACACAAACTGGTAAATTACAATTTTAGGCAACACTCGGGGAATTCACTTTTCTTTCAGTCATGCATACACGCGTTGGCATTTAGTGATTACCATGAACTGGAAAAACTGTTCGAAATACTTATGGAGGATCCACCTCCTTTTGCAAAATTAAGTAACCAGAGGTAGTTTCGCTCTAGATCAACATGCGGCGAGAAGTAGAATCCCTTGTGATCATATTTGTAACCTTTGGTTTGTGGTGTCCCCACAGACACGACCACAAGGTGGTGTCTCCAAAAGTCGGTACCTCGGTCGTCTGATCGAAGCTTGCTTATCCCTACCCTTCTAGGGGGAGACTGGTGTAGTATTTCTTCAGGCGACAATTTTTCAAAGGCAGTTTTCTCTTCATGCCTCTTAGTTCTTTATAAGTTTCCTCATAGATCCATTCAAACTGGAAGCGATCATCAATTCACGGACCAGTAGCACGTTTGCTCTACGCTTGTAACTAACATCAGGACAGGTTTAGCTTCCAACCAGTCCTGTATATTTGAGGACTATCAGAACATGGTTACAAAACCATAACATACATATCAGAACCATCATGGTTCACATATCTAGTAGCAATTTAACCCCTGTATCAGGTAGAATTATTACAAAAGCTCGGCTAACATCATGCTTTTCCTTCTTACTTAAGAACCCTTCCACCACCGGACATTATGAAGTGTACCATCGAGATTTAGTACTTATCGCCATTATCTGGCAATAGTAATATTCCAGGAAACGTTTCTTCATTGGACACTCTCAGGATTAAGTTTTGGTTTAAATATTATACTGCTTTTAATGAGCTCAAAAAAATCAAACCAGACAATGCCCCACGGTGAGCTCTGTATCGCACGCTTCCTTTGCACTGATTAGATCTACTTTCAGGTTTCCGCTGCCTTTGCTAAAATACCAGCCTAACTTATACAAACTCAAATCCACCATTTTGGAAGTTTCAGAATATGACGTTTCTACAACCCCAATCCTTTGTTCTATTTTTTTCCCGGAAAGGATATTCAGATAAAACGTGAACAAACATTAGTTACAGGTTCAGACGAACATCAGCAACCACTTAGTCACTAAATTGGTGAACCCGCATTCAAATACCCCACTTCATTTTGTAATCTATCCGATTTTGATGGGTCTGTTCCATATCTTTGGAACTCCTTAACCGTTCTCTATTCGTTTCAAAAATGTTAACGATTGCTGGTATTCTCACTTTACTATTATTGCTATGTAATTTCTACCTTTTATATAGTCAATTGGGAGTGTATATTGCCTATACGACTATTCATTGATTTTTCATGTTTTGGCCTTGAAGCCCTGTTAGGTGGCTGTTTACTCTCTACGCTAATGATGTCCACAAATTTGTACTTGTATCAACGGTCGGAGTAACGAACCAAAACAGAACGACGAGTATCACAAAATCTCAAAGACGGTTGAGTCGGAATGAGCTGGAGAATAGCGAAGCGCACAGGTATGTGAGCCTGCAGAAAGTGAAGGTCAACGTACCGTGACCAACGAGGAAATCTTGGTCCGGTAAAACAACAAGGTCCGAAAGATGCAAAAATTACACGGAAAGATTTGACACTCACTACAGAGCTCTCTCCCTAGAAAGCTAAGGAGAGTCTTTGATAAGCTTGCGCGTGGGTGCAGTCTTTTCGTCTTCTGGAGCTCAAGTAGGTCAATCAGTTGTTTAAAATAGTCCGAATGATGATGTGAGGATGTGAAACAAATAGATGTCTACAGTCCTTCCAGTTTTTGCTACTTGCCTTGTTTTTTGAACGAAAAACGGATGTTTTGGAAATGGGTTTGTCATAGCTGTGTACGAGGCAGCAAACAAACTGACCGCAGCTGTCAGAAGAAGTCTTTAATCCCCTAAGATGCCGGATCGATATGTTGGGTGGGGATGAGGGGCAAATTGCAATTCTCCTGTTGTTGAGGTTCTCCCATTTGATCGGTTGGTGTTCTCTTCTTCACGGATTGTGTTTCTGGAAAGGAAAAGATGAGACCTTCGAAGCGGCTCTTGTTGGAGTTGATCGGTAATAGCGAATGGTTTTCGTTTTTTGATTGTTTGGTTATCCCAAAGAAACGCGAGAGTTATGAGCAACACCTTGAGCACGAGGAATCGACTGAGGTGGAGTAGAACAAGAACTACCTGGGAGACAAACGTTCGGTAGGTCAGAAGAGTATTTTATTACCGCTGGAAACGACCGCGGCGATCGTTCTTTACCAATATCGATGGTAGCGCTGAGGAGTGACCCTCTGTGGATCTGGTTGACGTTGGGTCTACTGACGGACGATTTGTAGCTTTCGTAAGTGGAATTGAAGAAGAAATGTTTGCTACCAAGAACGCTGGTTTTAGTCGGTTTAAACAAACGAACTCCTTTTCGCCGTTAACTTCTGCTATGGTCTATTTGTATTTAAGCATGATAATCTGGTGTGGACCGGTTTATGATTCCTGTAGAGGTGTGTGGGTGCTATCTACACGAAGGGAGACGTGCGTGCTACGCGTAAGGTCTTTCGTTACTTAGACAGTTACGGTTTTCTGCCGTGTGGTAGCAGCGTGCACCTCACACATGTGGAGCGCGAGTCGTTGTGCAAAATCCGTGTAGTTAAAGCTACGTTGGGGCTTGGGTGAAACGAATTCACCCGGAAGATGTAACGTGTGACCGAGGGCTAGTGCGGCTGGTGGAGTGTGCAAGTCGGCCTTTATCGTATTCCGATTGCCCATCAGGACAAGCAGAAGAGCCTCACGCCATTCTGAACCGAGATGAGCCTTCAGGGCTGCTTTGAGTTGTCTTTGGAAGCGCTCGATCAGGCCGTTGGCCGCCGGATGATATGCGGTTGTGCGAGCGTGTTGCACCCTAACATAGTGAGTAGCGCCTTGAATGACCCTTCGAAATGAGAACTTCTATCGATGGTGACGGTCACCATGCAACCGCAAGTTGCTAGCCAACGTTTCGGATGAGCAATTAGGGAGTGGTACCGCCTCTGACCAACGGAAGAAACGGTTAACGGTGGCAGTGGCCCTACTAAATCGATTTGGATGTGCCCGAAGCGGGTGGTTGGGGTATCGAAAATGCCTAACGGCGTCTTTGTGTGACGCAGGAACACGAGACGTCCAGCTCAGGACAGCAAAGCGTCTCCTAACTCGCCATGCCCGGAGTTTGTGTCCACTCGAATACCGTGAAGATCAGTCACACAGCAGCAAGATTCCTCTTAGTGTTAACCCTGGGGGGATTGTATGTTAATAACGTGCACTATTCATTGATATACTTTGCCTACTGATTTAT